GAGACAGTATCGTGTCTCCAGATATATGTATAACGTAATATTTAGTAGCTTTAATTCAAAATAAAAAATTATAGCGTCAATTTTTATTCTCAAAAAATTATTACTATATTATAATATAACAATATAAATAATTAGTGTTCTTTAAATTTTTATATCATTCAACATAAATGGAAAATTTGCCGTTACTTAAAACATTTTATTAAATTGTAGAATGATCGCAACGTTTTTGGAGCTGAATGGAGCTAGACAAATATTTCCATGTTGGGATGAACCAGCGTTAAAAGCTATCTTCAACATTTCAGTAATGCATCATGTGAAATATCTGGCATTGTCAAATATGCCTTTAGTACGACGGGAATTCTTTGAATATGATATGACGTGTACGTACTTCAACACTTCTCCAATAATGTCCACTTATCTCGTGGCGATTATCGTAATCCCCATGATTGATTTTCATTCTCTTTCCAACGAGAAAGAAACCGTCAATGTGTGGTGCAGATCGTCTTTATTGAGATCGGAAGTGACATTTATGTATAATATTATTGAAAAGGTCACACCATTCTTAATCCAATATACCAATAATTCCGAAAAGGTTCCGAAAATGGATCACTTCATCACATCGAATTATCCGGTTGTAGCCATGGAACATTGGGGACTCATCATTTACAAGTAATATACATAATTAAAAAGAAATTAATGAAACCATTAAAATTAACAAATATGAATATTATTTTTAATATTCAAAGTTTAGTAATTAAAAACGTGTGCATACTTCACAGACAAAAAAAATGCATATTTTTATGTTTAGATTATCTAAAATAATGTTTAATATATATACATATATATATTGCAGTTTCCCTCTTTTTTCAATCCAACATATATTTTTATACAGAATATTTCTAAAGTTTTTTTTTGTTTGTGATCCAATCCCTGGATCTCGGAAACAGTTTTAGATATTGAAAAATAAAAATTTTAATATATTAAGGGAACAGTTGATGAAAACGTGGACACGATCTTTTCAAGGCCAAGTCAATGTGATCGATGTTTTCTTGTATAGAATCCCCCATTTTTCGCTACAACTTTTGTAGCTTACTTTAAAAGCTTTTTAAAACATATATATAATAAAGTTTATTTTTTATTAAGTATTTTCTCAGTTGTGAGATTTAAAAATAATGATATCGCTGACATTAGGATAATTCAAGGTGTCCAACTTACAACTAAAACATTTTGAATGTTGTTCAGGGTCAAGATCTTGATAATTTTTTGTCAAAGTCATGGCTACTAAAAGGTGGTTCCTCTCTTTTTCATACTTACGTACATGAGAAATTATTCTTTCATACTTATATACATAACAAATTATTCTTATTGTACATAAGGAAATTATATAAAAAGTTATATATACATGTATAAAAAAATTCAAACAACACACACATCTGATTTATTTATGAATAACATAATTACTCGAGAGTACATTAGATTTCATATTCAAAACAGAAACATTTTATATCATATTACATTCTGTCTTTCAGTGAATCATTAGTTACCTATGACGCTAACAAACATCCAACATATAGGACAGCAGAAGTAGCAATTATAGTAACACATGAAATTGCACATCAATGGTTTGGTAACTTGGTCACACCGTCTTGGTGGTCTTACCATTGGTTAAAAGAGGGACTTGCTTCGTTCCTACATACGTACATCATCGACAAGGTTATTTAATAATATTAAAATGCAAAGTTGCTTATTATTGGAAAAAAACTTTGAAATACATTTTAATCTCAGATTAAAATATAATACCAGTATTAAATACAATTAAATAAGGCGTTTTCATAAAATTTATTAAGGTATACGATATAGAATTAAATAAAAGATAGCACGTGCTTTACTTTAGAATTATATTTTGATATTGGATAGTTTTGAGTAATCTCCATACATTTAATAATAATTAAATTAGATATGACTTTTCTTAAAGAATTCGACATAAAAGTGTTATTAGAATGTAGTCGTTATAAAAAGTAAAATTGCGAAGTTTTCAAATTGGAAGTAGTAAACAAACTGATTTTTTATTTCTAATGCGAACTCTTAATCGAATTTAATATTCAGTCACGCAACACACGATTTTTTTCAGATTTTCAGAGATTGGCGGACAATGGATTCTTTTGTGGTTAAAAACTTACAGTTTTGCTTGAGAAGAGATAAAGGCGGATTGGGTCCTGTCACAATGGAACTTAATAGTATCTCTGACAGACCGGATCTTTCTATTGTATTTTATCAAAAGGGTAAGATTATGTAAATATAATTAAACTATTGTCTATAGATTTTTTTATGTATGTAGTACAAAGGAAAAGATAAAATAGAAGATTGAAACAAACAAATTCTTTTTTTGCACAATATACGAGGGCAAATCAATAAGTACTCATGTTTGAAGATAGGTGACGTTGTTGATGCAAGTTGGCATTACCATCGTGTACTACCATATTTCAAATGACGCCATACAAAATTTCAGAGTAATTCATGCAATAGTCTTGATTTGACAGCAATTCGTAGTGAGAGTGTTTGATGTTTTCCGATACGATGGAAAAAGAACAATATCGATCCGTGATTCGCTTTTTATTTTTGGATGGAAAAACGTGCGAAGAAATAAAAACGAAGATGGATGCCGTCTATGGGAACCCTTCACCATTTATGACAACCGTCAGATATTGGTTCAACGAATTCAAACGTGGTCGTTCGTCTGTTTTTGATGAGGAGCTGATGGCCAAACGAAAGTGCGTGAAGTAGCAGAGGCCATAGGCGTGTCGTATGGAATGGCATTAAATATTTTGCATGATAATTTAGGAATGAAAAAGCTGTCGGCCCGATGGGTGCCGCGATTGCTCACGGTGGACAACAAGCGAATGCGGCTATCAATTTCAAAGCAATGTTTGGAGCTGTTCAAGTGCAATCCGAAGGAGTTTTTGCGTCGAGTAGTAACCGTTGATGAAACATGGATTCATTACTACACACCGGAGACCAAGATACAGTCAAAACAGTGGATTTCACCCGGCGAACGTGTTCCGAAGAAGGCCAAGACGGTCCCATCGGCCGGAAAAGTGATGGCCACTGTTTTTTGGAATGCGCAAGGCGTAATCTTCATCGACTACAT